TGTTATATGCCTGCATATTGTTATTTGTTCTGCATCGTGATATGGAAATAACCGAATACACACTGAAATAAACGTGCTACCATGTAGACGTCTCTGCGGAAAACACCGCGCCGTAAGTTTGAGCTAGTAGGTAAACATTAATAGGTTACTATATAGGTGATCCGAGTTCTAATGTTGGACTCGATGGCGTATAATTGTACACCCCAATTTTTTGTATACAATAATATTTATTAAAATTAATATACATATCATCAGCCTAATTCGCAATTGACTTTCTTATAGACATTTTTTTTTTTTGATAAAGGTAGATAATCTTATAAGGAATCATGTATTCCATTTTCAAATCTTAGATTTAAAAAGAAAAATTTTTACGAATTCTTAACTCAAAATAATTTGCTAATTTTCGTGATTTTTCCATATTTTGTCAATTTTTGAACTTTAAATGCTTATAAAAAAAAAATTGTGACTAAGGATTTTTAATATTTTTCATCTGCCTTTGAAACAATATACTAGGAGCCTTCTTTTAAATTTTCAACTTTTCGCAACCAACAAATAAAATTTTATTGATATTTTTAGAAAAAAAACTAAAAAAAGATGGAAAATGAAAATGTCCCTAAACAGTTCAAAATAAATCAAAATATTTTGAAAATGTTATCGTGTATAGAAAATGCAAATATAAACAACCAGTGAAAACTTCATGTATATACGTTAATTTCTTTTAGAGTTACACCAAAAATCAAAATCGATTTTTTGGAAAACCGATTTTGCGTAAAAATTCCCGTTTTTCCTTAATTTTTATGTTGTTTTTCCCGGTGCTTGTGAAAACTACTGGGAAATTTTTACTTTTGACCCCCCAAAGTACCAACTAGATTCACTTTCCTGTCAGAAAAGATACTGTTGAAGAAAATCCAAGCACTTTTACTGTCCTAAAACGTGATGACAGACACAAAAATAAAAAAAAAACACATCATTGTAAAATCAATACATTCATCGTTTCACTCAGAATCTAAAATAGATTAACTTTTTTTAAACTGAGTTAAGTTAATATTTTTTTCTAAATGAACTTTTAACTTATCGAGTTAAATTTATAATTTGTTAACTGCTAACTTTTAACTAATCGATCTTGTGTCCTCTTAACTTAATTTAACTTGAGTTAATTATTTTCATTAACTTGCCCACCTTTGATTATACTATATTTTTAAAACAAAAAAAAATATCTACCACTTTTAAACTTATGCTTGTGGTGGTGGTAGGGAGTTATATATAACATAATATGACATAACAATTTAATTATAAATAATAAAATCAGAAAAGAACTGAGTAGTCAATCTATACAATTAGAATACTTATAAGTTATAACTAATATTAAATTAGCTATAACAGCTATAACTCCTTATTATTTATTCAAGTATTAAAAATAACCAAATCTGCATTTTTTTTTCATTTCTATAGGCACGATCCCATCTGTATTGAATACTTCCCTTTTTATATTTATTGGCATTAAGTTCTAGTTTTTTGGACCTAGATAATCTATGCATTTTTGACCAAACGCTTTTCTAGAATACTCCATTCTGACATCAAATGCCCTATTTTCTCTTTTAATTATTACCTTTTTCATATCCAGAAAGTATTCAAAGTTTTTAACTATATATACAATAGTTATATTTTTTATATACAGACTCAAATAGTAACACATCTAATAACTTAAAGTTTTCTTTAGTTGAATCAAAAAAGTATTTTTACTTCAACCTATCCTAATAATTTTTCTTTGTAAAAGTTGTAGTAATCTAGATGAATTTTGATTCAGTCAAAATTATCATTTTGTTTATTATTTGATGTAAAAGTATATTAAAAAAATTATAAAGAAATTACATACCTAGTCAATTGATTGTTTTTATTTTTATAAACAATAATTATTACAAATTACCTATTTCAAGTAAATATTACTTAGTAAGTATTATTACTTATATTTAGAAACAAAATATAAAATTAATATTTACAAATTTACAATAAAAATAGTGCATTAATATAAAATGATTTATTTGGTATATCATAATAGAGTCGGGATTTATATATTTTTACATATTGATTCTGAGTACCTATATGCAGTCTTATGAACCTCATTACTTCCTGGAGCCACCACTAACAGCGCAAAGGATAACAGTATGCAGGGTTTGGTCTGCATATTCCCTTCTATAACCCAAGAGTGGGAATAAGTTTGTGGAGTCAGAAAAAATCATTAAAAAAAACTGTATCTCGAATTGTAGGTAATTGATTGGTAATTATTTATTATTGACAAAAAAACTTTTAATTAGTAATAAATGTGTACTTATCTAGGTTTTCTACGAAGTTTTCAGTAGCGGGAGTTCATTTTGTTTTTTTTTTGTAGGGTTAGGTTTTTGTGTTTTCATTTGGTTTGGTGAGGGAGTGACCTTGTTTGATATTGTTGTGGCCGACAATGTGGGCGATTGTGTTAAAGCTGACCTTTTAGAATTTGTAAGTGGTTCTGTTTCGATTGGTTGATCTTTATTGTCAGTTTGTGAATAGTCCATTAGTTCATAAAAATCAATTTCCGAATCTAGATGTACAGGTGTTTTAGGTTCACCTAATTCTAACTGTGTTTGGGTATTTGATAATGAGCTAATATTATTTGTCTCAGTGGGTTTGAGTTTATTTGCTTTGGGACAATTTTTTGATGTATGTCCGATTTTTTTGCATAAAAAATAGGCTAATTCGTCATTAGAAAGGAATATCCGATAGTTTGCGTTTTCAAAAGTGATCAGTACCTATGGATCTAGGTATTTGTTTTCATCTTCAGGTGATATATACATTTGGCGTCTAAAGCTTAGTATGTGTGTAAGACCTTCGATGTGAAGACCTGCACGTAAAATGACATAGGACTGGTGGGTGTTATGCTGTGCTCTTTAAGTGCTTCTATTATTATTTCGTGTAGTATATTGGGGTATACATTTTGTTATACTTATCAAAATATGTGGTTCTTTTTGAATCAAAAACAATATTTATTAATTTTGTTATCTATTTAGTATATTGAATAAACCGGTAGATTATTATTAATTTTTTTTCTACTGTAACAATGTAAGATGTAGATATTGCTATCAAAATATATTATACCTATTTGGAATTCAAAATGTGTTGCTGAAAAGTGGTATTCAAAATGTATGTAAGACAGGAGCGTGGGGGGCGTGGGGTGCAAGCCCCCCCCCACGGATCCGTGTTGAGTAATTGCACGCTTCGAAAACAGTTTTTAAATCGCTGGATTGTGCTCCTCTACTTAATGACAGAAGCTATGGTAGTATGGTACCATTGCATCAATAGTAATTATTGTATCATCATTTTGACAATGTGTTTAGCACAAACATATATTATATAGCGATAGTAACAAACGATGTGCAATCGTCAAAAGTTTTCAAGAAGACAATCGTCGTCTATCTTCGCCATCTGCGTAGGTAGAAGTTTAAGCAACATGACGTGGCGGAGGTGACATCAGAAGACCAATTTTTAATGCACCGATTTTTTTTTCTCTGAATACTAGTCACCGACATTCGACAGCCAAGTGTAGTATTTTGCAAATTCGTGATGATATTATAGTCACTATTAGTCTGTCACACTCCTGTAACTCCACTCATATAAATGTTTAATACTTATAAATTATATTTTATTACTCGTTCGAAATCGACATTTCTAAAACAAAATTCTTGTGTTAGACACACTTTTGGTACCATTGACCCTCCCAATCTACTCACATCAACCTCACTCTTTATACCACTCCTTTTCTACGTTACATCTCGCCCACATTGTATAGGGTAACAATCACTCCATATACAGAATGCTTCACCAGTGTAATAAATCATTTTTGTTTTTAGGCTATTTTATTTTAATTATTTAATGCACCTATTCCATTTCATGTGCTCGTGATTGTAAACTAAAAGTAGGTACTCCATTGTATACATTGTTTCACTAGTTTTCACTATATAACTATTATAAATTGTACATCTTGACGAATGCCAAATAGCGTCAAAATAAATATAAATTAAATAACAATTATAAACTTATAACTCAATACCAACGTAGGGTTATTCGAGAAAATATTATTTTAGTTTAGATATTTTGTCATCGTATATTTTTACCGAATACTGTTTAAGTCATAGACTTTAGTTAGGTACATTTTTTTAATATTAAAGTAATACACTCACTTTAAAACTTGTTTTGTTTATAATTAATAATTTAAATAATAGACGACTTTAAACTAACAGAATTTTTGTGATTCATATATTATATGGTTCAATTATACTACACATTCGTGTTAGTACAATAGTACCTAGTTGTTATATAAACAATAACAAAACATTTCATAAACAACTTAATCATAATATATTATATTATTATTTACATCGTAATTATAATAATATAGTTACTAATAAAAAATAAAGGTCGACGTCATTACATGTTAAACCTTTGAACAACTTAAATATCTAAAAAAAAAAATATGTACAAATCAGTCCTTTAAAAAACAAGTGTAAATAAAACCAGCTGTCGTTAGACTACAACAAAAGTCGTCATGTTTATCAATGATGGTAACTTTAAATTAATCCTATACCTTACTCTAAACTTTGGAGAGACTTAGATAATATTTGATAAATATAATTCAATGGTTTTGATGTGGACATAAAACATTCATACCATGGTTAAATTTAAAACAAATAATATTAGTTGTATCACACATTTGTTGAGTAAAAAAAAAAAAAAAAACAAAAAAAAAGTATTTAAGTCTCTCTTAACTCTTTTTAAAATAAGGATAGTTCATAATATAATATATCATATAAAAATTCAAAAGATAACACAATGCGCAAGTAGAGAAAAAAATTCATACAAATCAGACACTTCAATACATTATCATTTCCATATAAACAAATAAATAAAATATCCTAATGTATAATAATATAACTACAAAGCACATGAAAAATACTAGTCGTTTTGGATCACATATAATTGATAGAACTCCCGCCGCTGTTTTTGGGTTCCGCGGCGGTCCACCGCCTTTGGTCGGCCATTGTGTGGTTGTAGTGATACTGATGAAGGTTTTTTTGTTGTTGTTGATGTTGTGATTGTTGATCAGAAGAGTGCTGACGAGACAAACCTCCAACACCATCTATGCTGTAACATGATGACGTACGATCCAACGACGTAGGGCTGACACTATATGCCGTGCCTGGAGGTGCAGCGTGTTTGCCCCGCTTGATAGAATGCGTGTAGTCCTTGGTACCACGTCGCCTCAGCGTGAAGTCCCTCTCACCTGTCACCTGGTACTGTTTCTTCCACTGCACCCAACAGTGTCTATATATTGGGTCCACCGGACCCCAGTTCCGCGCCGGTTTGATGGTGCTCAGGAATTTCTGTGGAGAACAAAAACCAACCGATGAGTCAAAAACATCATAACATAATACGAAAATTACGATGCAGCACCGACCGACCCATTGATCGAGTAGCAGATCGAGCACTTACTTGCGAAAAGTTGTAATCCACCTGAGCAGATATCTGCCACACGGCTATGCCGATAATCATCGACCACATGAACAGGTAAACGATCCAACCGATCACGTACAGCCACATGGAATCGTGAGAGCTATAATCAGACTCAGTTAGCGGCATCACGAACAGACTCCAAAACTCAAATACCTGCAGTTATAAAATTATGGTAATTAAACATTATTTATGCTGACGAATTTTATAAATCGGGAAACCATAAAAATAAGTTATACAATTTTCACTCTTGATTTCATATTTCCAAATGCTTCAACAATCGACTTGCTGTTATTCGTTTTTCAAAAATATTTCACAGCAATAAAATATTAGGTTTTATATGGGAGAACGTACCATGAACAAAATCGGAGTGCCCAGCCACACAAATTTCCACACGAAGCACAGTTTGTATCCAAGCACAAACTCGAAGTCGTTGGATAGCGATTCCAGCCCGTAGATCCAGACGAAAGCAATTAGTTCCAGCACCGTGGATGTGACCACCATGCGACCAATGATGTACTCGTCCAGCAAGTGTACGGCTTGAAGGTTTTCCTGAAATTTAAAATGGAGTCAATATAATTTATAGAATTATTTTTAGACACTCATGTCGTAAACTCACGGGCAAAAGGCACAGGACACCCATCAAGAAGGCGATAAAACAAACCATGCAAGTCAATATCCACCACTTCCATTTTTCCTTGGTCTCGACAGACAGTCCTACGATGGCAGTGTAAATGGCCGCTATCTGTAAAGCAAGAATAAATAGTAAGTTCTTTTTAATTTTTTTATGTTTCGATTTTGAATTAACTGTATGTATTAAAATTGTTTATGTAAACAGTTTGTTGAATTTTTATTCTCGTTATTCAATCAATTTTTATTCTACTCAAAATGATTAATATTGCCTTATTGTAATATTATTTATTTTTATATATTTTTTGCTTCAATTTATAATTATGTTGAACAAAAACTACTTTATAAACGGTTTCCGGTCACTTACCAGACTCAGGAATCCGGAAAGGAACACCAATGTATAGACCAAAGCAGCCCACAGATCGGATAGAATGCCTCTGGTCGTCAATTCGTACACAAATGTCAGGAACCAGACTTCCGACAGAGCCGTCGAAGACAGCATTTTCTGTCCTACTTGTAATTGCACGTCATATATCCACATTGTAACTATTGAAACACTACACAAGCCGACTACGATGCTAACCACCGTAAGCATTACTGAAGTCCTGTCAACAATTAAAAAAAAAATGTTATAACTCCAGTCCATCGAAACGAAAATGATTAAATAACCACTGCCGAGTGCTTACCAAAAAGGATTAGACTTTGAGTACAGTCGACCCGCACTAGTTGTGATATTACCAAATCCCAAATGAGTAGTGAAAAAAAATTGTACTACAGCATGATACCATATCTGAAATAAATTTTATATAGGTATAACATATAATATATATGTCTTGTATACAGTATGTTAACGCTAATTGAGAACACTCAATATCTCTGCATAGAGCCCTGCAATTTAAATTCTGATTTCTTGTTGGTTGTTATGACATAAAAATACACCTTTTTATAATTTCTTTAACTTAATTGGACTTGCGCATACGCAGTACAACTTTTTTTTCTTAAACGGCAACAACCTATTTTAACCACTAATTATTTTTTCGCCTAATTTTTTAATACATTTTGGTGGTTTAACCAACTTTCTAAGACCAAAATTGACCAAGTTACAGCCAATCAAAATACGCGAAATTTTTAGATTTTTTACTGTAATACAGAAATAATATAAATAATTATTCTAAGATTGTTTAGGCTTAACATTTTCAACCCTAATTATTTAGGTAATATTTATGTGATACATAAATAAATATGTTGTTGATTATATTACATGTAATGGATCTATTGGAATTTCTTAATAGTTTAATGTATGCCGACCCTCCTATAAATCTTCGAAATTTAAAAGATATAATAACAGCAACACGCAATCAACTGACTGAAAAACAAATTATTAATAAATTCCAATAGATCCATTTATTTATGTATCATCTAAATAATTAGGGGTGAAAATGTTAATCCTAAACAGTTGTAGAATAATTATTTTCAGAATTACAGTAAAAAATCTAAAAATGTCGAGTATTTTGAATGGCCGTAACTTGGTCAATTTTGGACTTAGAAAGTTGTTTAAACCACCAAAATGCATTAAAAAATTAGGCAAAAAATAATTAGTGGTTAAAATAGGTGGTTGCCGTTTAAAAAAAAAAGTAACAATTTAATTTTAGAATATTGTGGATTTACTGGATTACTAATTACTGATGATGCTTTTAAATTTTTTTGGATAGTTTAAAACTTTAATAATAATAATAATATTCAAGGTAAAAATTAAAACAGTTAATAAACTTACGTCTAGTTTCCACAAAGTTTCCCATTGAATGTCTAGCAGTATATCCAATCCTCGTTGATTTGAGTTAAGTCCTTTGACCAATAAAACCGCAATCGTTACAAACGTTGCAGGTACGACAAGCAATGCCACTGTTCTGTAGGATTTACTGTTTTTTATCAGGCTAAATAAATAACAAAAATTAATAAATTTTCTATTAGGTACTAATATTGAGTATTCAGTTTTATATAATACCTATTCATATGGGACTAAATTAAATATAAGTTTACTGAAACTCTGTGGCATAATATTACACTCTGTTCACCACACATTATTCAATAACATCGTGTATAACGTATAAGTCAAATGTCAATACCAACTCTACTGCGTTTTGTACAATTTGGTGTTCTTAGAAGATTCTTGGGAAGTTCATGGATTAGGTGGGAATATCAAAATATCAAAATGAACCATATCACAACACAATAAGCAAAGGCACAAACCCCCAAAACATGATATAATTTAAAAATTATTAAAAGCAAGACAAGTATATTTATGTACTATATTACTGTACTGTATTATTTATGTACAAATATATTTTTAAAAAGCTGAAAACATAAAATAATAATTATTAGAAACAATAAGGGTTTGGTATATTAAGTGACAGTAATAAATTATTATGCTTAGTTATTTAAGTTAAATTGTATATGTAAACAATACTGTTATTATATTTTTATCTTTGTATTATCATTTTATGTATGATGCTATTTTGTAAAAAGCCAACTGTCGTTAATTCTAAAAAATAAAACACTTAACTTAAGACACATTTTTAACGAATTTAATGCATTGGTAATTTATTATAATATTAACCGTTCAGACATTATCACTACATAGGTATCTACGTGTATTACTGTATAAATAAATTTCGTTTGCTTTTCCCCTGATCAACGCAGTTTCCCATTTATAGAATGGACTGGAAACGAACAGTCAGGAAAGTGTCGGGGAACAAGGCTGCTTATGGTTTGAGAGAGTCTTGCACGAGGGTAAAATAATGCAGCCCTACCTCGAGCGACTAGCTATCAATTATCATCTAGTTTATCTAGTATATACGATGTGTTTATCACTATATAGCACTCGAGCAAGACTTGCATTATACCCCCCTTGTACAAGACCCTCCCAAACAAATAACCATAAGCAGCCCGATGATAAGGCCCTCGTTTGTAGTCCATTCTATCTTAGTCCGTGCTGTTTACGTATTTATCTTTTAAATAAACTGTCATAATATGCACACCACTATTAAAACTTTTTTGATTATAATAAAGCGCAAAATGAATCAAGGCATAATACATGTTATTGTGTGATTGGATATTGATATATGTATAAAAGAAATTAAGGTTAATTTATTTAATACAATGGACAATATTATAATGCAGAAAAAATCACCCCAATGCCCGAACAGTGGCCTTGAAGCTTGGGGTTACTGTAATCATTTCACTTGAATAAAACAAAAACAATTTTATTTTAGAACCAATAAATACAGTTTAAAAAAAGGGAGCCGAAGCCAAAAAAGTAGTTAGCCAAGCACCCAAACCGGAAGCAGAACTGATATTTTGTTAAGCGTCCTGTCATTAAATCGAGTCCAAAAACTAGTAATTGAATAAAAATATTCATCCTGCAACTAGAAAATAAAGACGCTTCTGTAAATTATGTAGATCGTACACTGGATGTAGTAGCCTAATATACAAACCTATATTATGTAATATAATTAATTATAACAAAATAGATGACAAAAGACTGTCAACGAACAAAATAAATACCTAAACGTGATGTAATAGTTATTTTAAGAATACAAAAGTATGAAAATGTATTAGATGGTAAACTTTTTAATTACACAATTGGTAGTTTAAAGGTGTCCAACCATAATTTTAGCTATACAATCGAATACCGTATTTACCATAGCTACTATACATATGATTTAAGCAATAGGTACTTATACATAAATGAGTAAATGAAAAATAATAATATTCTATTTGTCATTTATTGTTTTTTCTATATTGACAAATTTTGTTGTTTATAATTATTTTTTTTACAATAATAGTAACATACAACTATATAATATTGTTCCAATTGGTTATAATTTTATAAATAAACTTAATTTTGTATTTATGTGTGAATGTGAAAAACAAATAGGCTCAATATTGGTATACAGACCACTAAACATTAGCTATTATCAGCATAATTAATAAAGTCCCAAAATAATAGTAAGTACCTTATCGCGACTACGATCCAAATAAGTAGTATAAGCAAAACGTCCATCGCAATCCACTGCCAGCTCAAGTGCGGTGGTTTGATAAAAGTCTGCTGAAGACATTGGTCACTACTAATAGCGTTAGAATTCACTCCTTGCTATAATATATACAAAAATTAAAAACAAATGTGAAGAACGCATTAACATTATTTATGGTCAAAATTAATTGTAAGTAGGTAATGAAAATACTCACATAAAAGCTGATGGAATTGCTACATTCCGGAAACGGGATACTTCCGATGATACTGCGCGAACCGTAAAATAACGATAATGCCATGATTATCGGGTAGTACGCGGCAAGTAACACGGACGCCAAAACTTTGACGAATCCGACACCTATACAATTTTTTAAGAAATAAAATGTTTGTATTAATAAATATTAGTACCAAGTACCTAATTATAGACATTTTATGCAATAGGTATTGCAAAACGAAGTATACCTTTTAGCAGAGGCACTGCTCTCCATAGCTTAGTGGTGCCCTGTTGACAAAACTGACCAAGCGTTATCTCCAAAAACAATAGAGGAACTCCAAACACAATGGCAACCGCGAGATATGATACCAAAAATGTACCTATATACAATAAACAATACAAATCAAATATGTAATATTAATATTTCATAAGGTACCTGCTTGAAGCGTAGGTACTTATTTTGAAATCGTTTACGAGTAAATATTGTATTACATATTTACATCATTGCATCACATAGGCATTATTAGTATAGGTAGGTATAGTTATATTTTTTTTGTCTATCTAAAAAAGAATATTCCCAGTAGTAACAATTTTTTTAATAATTTGAAAAATTTACGAAAGCAGTGGGAAAATTCGAATAATATACATCCGCACTACCAGTTATCAATTTTGTTTGACATTGTGATTCAGTAAGGAATAATCGTAACTATATAGGTAGTAAAATAAATTATTTATAGCAATATTATAATTAATTATTCTTATTCTAAAGCCCTACTTTAATAATATTGAATAATCTTAAAACAACATTTAGGAAATGTTTGGGGGGCTCATTTCCTAAAGCTCCCAATTTGCGCTTATGACTCGACACCTACTATATTGCAGAGAGCGACTTCTCTGGGTTTTTTTTTTATTAATTCCTATGATTTCATGCATAAACTATAATTTAAACAAATCGTAGGTAGATCGTACATGGTTATTACTTAATATTTATGTACCTACAGTGTGTTTTAACATAAATATATTTTTGGGCTGGATACACGATAAAATGTTTCTGACCGATTTTCCATAAGGTTTTCGTTGTCATGGTTACTTATTAACAAAAACATATTTATGATTCATAGATTTTAAGGAAAAATATCGAGTAGCACGCTATGGTTTTTATGTTTACACTTAAACTATATATATAGACATATAGTTATATCTTATTAGTGCAAATGTTGAAATTTAATTAATTTATTCACATTTCCATAATAATTGTGCATAATATAATATGTAAAAGTAGATAACTATCACGATACTCATTCATTACATAATTCGTATTTTAAATGTATAATTATTAGAAATACATTGTTTCCTGAATCAGAAAAATTCTTTGATTCCAAAATTACTGTACTGAAACGAAAATCGAGATGGTTGCATAAAAGTTAACACTCTTATACGCACGTCGCTATAGATAAAAACATTTTATTCCCAACTATATATATATATATATTCACGGTCGTGGTGGTTTGTTTGTGAACCATATCTTAGAAAAATACAAGGAATTGAAAAAGTTTTTGTTTTTTAGTTTTAAGAACAAATAATGATAAATCTAATATTACTAGAATACTATACTGAAAATAGTATGTTTAAACAATTAAAAAATAATAGCTTAAAATGTCCTTGTATGTTCTAAAATAGTGTCCGTTTCACTGTAAAATATACAGAGTGATTATCAAGACTTAGTATGCCCATTCATTTTTTCTTTAATAATGCAGTTATTCAAAATCTGTTTTTTTTTTATTTTTGAATATCATTAAATTTATTAAGACCATTTAAGGAGTGTTCTCTAGGGATAAAATCTGCTGTTTTTCAAATGAAAACCCCTCCCTACTGTAGTACTGTTAATTATTTTAAGAATTTTAGATTCTGAGTGAAACGATGAAATGAGTATTGATTTTACAATGATGTGTGTTTTTTTTATTTATTTTTTTTTTGTGTCTGTCATCACGGTTTGGGGCAGTAAAACTGCTTCGTTTTCTTCAACAGTATCTTGTTCGATGGGAAAATGAATCTAGTTAGTGCATTCGAAGGTTAAATTTTAAAATTCCCAATAGTTTTCACAACGGAAAACAACATAAAAATTAAGGAAAAACGGGAACTTTTACGCAAATCGGTTTTCCACAAAATCGATTTTGGTTCTTGGTGTAACTCTAAAACAAATGAATGTATATAAATGAAATTTTCACTGGTTATTTAAATTAGCATTTTCTATACACGATTACATTTTCAAAATGTTTTGATTTATTTTGAACTGTTTAGGCACATTCTCTTTTTCAATTTTTTTTTAGTTTTTTTTCTAAAAATATCAATAAAAGCTTGAAAATTGAATACAAGGCTCCTACTATATTGTTACAATGGCATTTGAAAAATATTAAAAATCCTTAGTCACAGTTTTTTTTTATGAGCATTTAAAGGTCAAAAATTGACAAAATATGGAAAAATCACGAAAATTAGCAAATTATTTTGAGTTAAGAATTCGTAAAAATTTTTCTTTTTAAATCTTAGGTTTTAAAATGTAATACGAGATTCCTTATAAGATTATCTACCTTTATCAAAAAAAAATGTCTATAAGAAAGTCAAATTAAATTTTTAAGAGCGTTTGAAATTCAAATTTTTACAACATTGGATATTCACTCGATTTCTCATGTAGGTAGCGATTTACTTATTTTGTTGTAATTCAAAAACGAATGACTGTAGATACATGATAATTTCACTGAATATTTATATTAACATTTCTTATACACCATACAATTTTGAAAATATTTTGACTCTTTTTGAGCTGTTTAAGGACAATTACAGTTTTCAATTTTTTTAGTTTTTTTTTCTATAAATATCAATAAAGTTTTATCTGTTGGGCCAAAAAAGTGTAAAAATTTAATACAAGGCTCCTGATATATTGTTACAATATCAGTTGAAAAATATTAAAAATACATAGGCACAATTTTTTTTTAAAGTACACTATTATATATCTATGGAGTATGGACTAAGATAGTATCAGGGTTTGTTGTTGACGTATAACGCATTATAAGTACCTAATGGATATTGTGATATGATTAATTTGGAATTTATTATAGGTACCTACCTATTTTAGGTAATTTTTTTTAATACGATAGATAAGTATATAATATGTCTTATACCTAGACTGACATACCGTCTCCGCTCAGAATCGTTTTTCTTATACAATGATATTATATCATTGAATTCAAATTTAATACTATCCATTATACAGTGACCCACTTGTAACCTTCTGTACAGCAGAGCACCTTTTTTTTGTTGAAAATGTTGACGTATCACAGTCGAAATTCGATAGTGTAATCATTAAGTTATTTGACTTTGTATACTAGAGATAATGGACTTGGAAGATATAGGAGCTATAGTGATTTCAAAATATTGGTAATTAATATTAATCTATCAACATGTTTTATATTTTGTGAAAATATGGTCAAAGTATAATAAATACTAGATACAATATTACATCTGTTTTATATTTTTGTAAAACCATCATTAAATACCATTATCCTTAGTGTGAACATTTCAATAACTATGAAACTACCTATTCGATCGAATTTTGAATTAGGTACATCAACATAATATAGGACTGCTTAAATAGTATAAAAATCTGAATTTGAAAGTATGGTCTTTAAGAAGGTATATTTAAAAATTCCAAAAATTTGAAATTGAATAAATTGATTAATAAAGGAAAAAATGAAAATGAGCATGCTTGGTGAATCGCCCTGTATAGTGTATACATATAATCACACTACATTATATAGGTACAATAGGTACCGAAAAATGGACATGCCAGGATGTTACTAATGAATCACGGTTATAACTCATAAAGTTATAAAAATCAAAAACCTTAGTTGTACCAACGCATAAACTACTTAAGTACGATATACTCGTATTAGGATGAACTTAAAAAATCAATAGGTAATTCTTGTTTTTTAAGCTTGCAACAAAATAAGTGTAAATTATCTAAAAATTTTATTGAATCGCGTGACGTTCATAAAACAGTGCTATCGTTATGTATCTACGGGACAGAGAGAATAGCAATTTTTGTATGTCGTGGATATTTTAACTCGAACCATACAATTTTTTATATTGTAATTACAGTATTACACTCTGTATAGTGCGTATACTATTATATAAACACCAGTATTTCAGCATGTGTGTGACTTGATAAAGGGAACACTTGTGTGTATATTGCACATAATAATACAAAATGGTAATTCGTCATTTTATGGTAATATTACGCACTGCAGTTATTTTGTCGCGTTTTGTATACACTTCACGTGAGCACATATACACGCGATCCACGGTGTGTAAATACTTACTGAAAAATAATATTAATTTTATGGTTTTGACGGAAAGTTGCTCAATTATCAAATAAATCGGTGTGAATGTAAAACAAAGAGGAAAACATGACCTAACAATAGGCTAACACGATTATATATATATATGTTTTAATACAACAATAATATTATGCTTCTGCAGCTGCAAGGTTGCGGAAGTCGTGAATTTGATTATTTAAGATCAATACTTGTATTGCAATGGTTTACACTTTTTATAGGTAGGTACTTACCGCCACCGTACAGAAATACCATCCGGGGCAGTCGTATGACGTTCGCCAGACTTAATGTCAGTGAGACGGTCATCAACAGAGTGCCAAAACTCTGCAGACAATTTGATTTGCAGCAATATATCTGAAAGAAACAAAATTCGTATAACATTAGAACTTGTAGTGAAAAATCGACAAACCGTTATTTTACGGCTAAATATATTATATTATTATAATATAATTTTGAATAATATTGTATAATACTAATAAATATATTATATATAAGTACTATATTATAATATATACATTATAGTTGTATCTGAAAATGATGAACGGTACACTTCTGTTGCACGGGAAGAGAAACATATTAACCACCAACGAACATTTTTGTGGGTGAATCACAACAATAATATAATAAAGTCGGAGCTAAACGAAAACATGACACTTATAATAATAATTGTAGCTGCACCGCCGGCTGCGGCATACTGACTAATTACTGCGAGTTTTTTAATTCTGCCCACAGCTACGTTTTTAGTTTTTTTTTACCCCGTTAACGTTTCCCGATGTAGCGACGAATAATGAGCGCTGTAAAAAACCTTTAAATATTTATACTGACTCCGCCTATATACTTGCAACTCAAATTCTCCCTAGCGCTTATATACTTATATTAAGTTCTGCAATAATTATATAGGTACCTACCTAATTATTATATATGAAATATAGTTAATAGTTATTATGATTACCTATTTAATAAATTAATAACTCAATTATACTATTTTTAATTAATTAAAGTTATTTTTTAAATTTTATAAATAGGTGCTTGAAAAATTACATAATATTGAATTGACGACGAGTTTAAAAATTAAATCATTAAATAGATAATTACCAGGGCTCGTAATTGTATGCCCTAAAAAATGCTTAGATAATCATGCACATATACACTAAAAGCTGGCAAAATATGTCTTAAAACGGGGATTCTTAACTGGTGGTCCATGGACCCTTAAGGGGTCCGTAAATGATTACTTGAGGGTTCACGGAGTAGCTGAGAGTTTTGGAACCGTAGATGTAACCGATCATATCACACATGAAACTTTTATGTAACTTCATTATTCACTAAAAGTATGAATTAAGTCTTAGTAATATTAGTATTAAAATAATAAAAATAAAAATTAAGGTGGATTTTTTTATGGGGGGTAGGGGTTCATGACCCAGAAAAGATTAAGATCCTATGCCTTTAAAAGTTCGGAACCATGCATTTATATGCACTTAAAATATGTGGATTAAAAAAAGAAGAAATCATACATAAGCAATTTTTGAAATAGCAAGAAATATCCATTCATATTTTTAAAAATTTTAAATCATTTTACTTTGTGACAATTCCCATACATTTTAAACAGGAAAAACTATAAATTATTGCATTTTTCTTACAAGTTTGGTTTTTTTATTATATTTCAGTAAAAACTGCAATTTAGTATAATAATACATAAGGAATATCAAAATTATTAATAATATGCTCAGTAAAATAGAAAAATTCATAAATATGCCAAATTATAGGAAAAAATCTCTCAATAATATGCAACAAAATGTAAAATAAAACTTTACATCCTTAACCAAGGTACCTTGAAATGGATTTCTATGTTCTCTAGCATCAAATACAACTTAGCAAGATTGATATGCGAATTGCATGAACTTACGAGCCCTGGTAATTAGGTACTAATTAGATTATAAGCTGCAAAGATCAATCCGTTTTGCAGATGAAAAAAAAAATATTTTTATTACCTACCTATGTTCATATTGATAATATTGTTTACTTTTAAAAATCCAATATATTACATTATAGTTGACTAACTCGGTAGTTAACATTTTTTTTGTGTGTAAAGTCACGAATTTGAATTACCTTATTAAAACAGTCACACTTGACCCCCAAAAAAAAAATTGTTTTACTCTTGTTATTACAACACCAATAATATTATGTTATAGTCGATATAAAAAAATTTCTTGAAAACAGAATGTGAAAAAAAAAATTTATAAAGTTACCGGTATAATCTGAATATAGGGTACCTGTGACCGTGTGGCACTTGCAGGCGGCCGAAGCAAACGTTTTGAATAATATACCATTATTAATACTAGTCTTTATAAAATCAATACGTATGAAAATATTCTCGTCGGCTGCCGATTGTTAGACATATTATCATTTGTTATATTTATAATATTATATTATGAATATTTAATAGGGACTGGCTCTGATTTGATATTTTATTTTTAGTTTACAAATAATATCCAATACTATCTACCAAGTAATGCACACAGACATAGTATTTCGGACTCCAGTACCCAAGGCTATCACATTCGTCTATAAGTGGTCGCGCTCGTTGCATAGGGTCGTTGTCGTGTAATATTTGATTCCATGTGTAGATTTTACTTGTAACTTTTACTTGCTCACTATTGTAGCTCACCGTTATATATTCGTATTGTAGTGTATTTGGTTGTGGTAACAACAAAGAAACCAACTCATCGATTTCCCAATCTTTAAAATTCATCTACGCGTTTTAAAAAATGTACCAATTTCTGTAAGCGCAGCAATTTTAATTCAACCAATAATCATAATTTTATCATAATAATATGATTATTGTTCTCTTTCTCAAGTATTTAGTCATTAACATGTAACATTTTTTTGTGTGTTTTATATCATAATTGGATTTTCTTAGGGCATTTTTATAGGTTTTTTGAGCATCAATTTCTGGACCAAATTAATAACAAATGAAATGTTTTTTTTGCGAGCCAAGCAGCCAAATAATTTGAACGACAATATCTATTACTTATTAATTATTATTCATATTTAATTGATATTCCATATCAGTTAAAACAAACGGTTGCATTCAAATACCACAACACCACCATCGAAGAATACGCGATTAATGTTCCGATTCGAGATAGTACCTATGTAGTAACTATACTGTGGTTGTGAACGATGATCGCCATTGTGTTTTTATATTGTTTTAAGCCCATGGAGTTAACATTGACAAAAAGCATTCACCCAAAATCGTTATTTATGATTTTTGGCTTTTTGAGTAAGCTTAAAGTAAACTTAGAGTAAAACCACTTTTAACAACAATTATGGCATACCTATATAAAATTATATTAATGTTATGGAGGGTCATCGTCATTATGACTAATTTAAAGTTTAAAAAATCTCAATTTTAATTCACCTGTAAAATTCAGTAAATAAAAATAGTGTGATAAAAAAAATCACTATGCTTAGAACGATTCGTAGAACTACTGCTGCAGTGCTGTAATAGCCTAATAGGTACAGTAGTTACTGCACAATACTACTATTTTTGCAATCTGCAACAATAGTAATACCTAATATTATCAGGGATGTATTCTTTGGTATATGACAGTATACAACGTATACTCATAACAATGCTTGTGAAGAAATGCATACACCCAAATTAAAATGTAATGAAGTATATAGGTACTTCTTTATTTTTGTAAGCAAACTGTCCGCGGCATCTGTGACCATAAGACGTAACATTACATTGCAAATAAATTTCTAAATTGCATAATTACATAATAAATGGTAATAAAAAATAATGAAAAACAATAAAATTTAATATTAAGTATTGGTTACAATTTACAATTTATTTATTAGGCACGTTTTTGATAGAAAATGGATGATCTTAAAGAAGTTGTTGGGTTCAAGGAATATACTTTTAAGTGATTCATAAAAGTTATTCTATTTTTGCAGCCTAACAGTTTTCTTGATTTTTATATTCTGAGCAAACGCGAACAGACACAAAAAAAGTCTGTGTAGTAGAATAATATCTAGTTTTTGAGCGGAGTAAGAAGAAAATAATTGTTGGATTACTTATTGGAAAAAATATTCCCAAGATATTTTTTACCAATAAATTATAATTATATGAATACGACTCAGGACACAAAATCTTATCTATAATAAATTATAATAAACACATTTTTTATGGTTAATATTAATAACTATCAATATTAATAATTTGTGAAAATGGTCTAAGTACAATAAATATTAGATCCAAAATTACATATCTGTTTTAAATTTTTGTAAAACTCTTTAAGGACTATTATATCCTCAAAATAAACATTTTAATAACTCAAAAACTACTTGTTTGAATTTTGATTCTGATACGTCTACATTTTCAGAAAATGTATTATTCGAAAAAGGGGGTTCTCATTTGAAAAGCAAAAGTTTGTGTCGCCACAAGACACTCCTTTAGTACTACAAACAAATTTACGAATTTAATAAATTTTCTTTGAGTATATTTAAAGATAACAAAGACCAAAATGTAAATAATTATATTATTAACGGAAAAAATGGGGGTGAGCATCTTTGATGAATCACCCTGTATAGTGTATAATATACGCGATTTCGACAGATTTATATAATCAGCTGATTTGTACGAAATCTTTATCACTGCAGGTGCTGTAGTTGTGCTCACAGGTATTATGCTTATTATTATAATTATATTTAAATTATATTATGTGACACGATGACGACCCCCTCGGGGCTTGAGGGCCTCAATAGAAGTATATTTCTTCTCAAGTGGTACGACGAAGAAGAGTATCCGCAGGCGAAATAAATTCCGACCACATATCGAATGTGTATAATAAGTATAATATACCTACCTAGTTGGTTTATGATATTATATAAATGTAATTTATATATAAGAAGAACGGCGTCATCGTAGTCACCTTTTTCGAGGAGACAGCGAATTCCGCACGCACACCCAAATTACATAACGGAATACGAACTATATAATATATCTACGACACTGTTTCAATATGACATATTAAACGTATATTAGGTAGGCATATAATATATACGCACGTGTAAACCAAGAAAAGATTGGTGTTTTGACGACCGAAAACCCGATCGTGACACAAGAAAAATAAAATAATTATACAAAATTAAGTTGTTTTTAGCACTAGCCGTGCATGGAGATTACATTATATTATTATTATTATTTCTGTTGTTGTACACAGTAAGTATAGCTGGACGATGACGAAACGGCTAGCTAACGATTTGGCCGAACTACATCTAGGTACCATAATAATATACTGTATTGTGTGTATAGTCGGTGACCGTTCTCAAGAGGAAAAAAGAACGATATG